CATTATTAGCACTCAACATGTCTGTTGCATTAAATTGAGAAGTACATAAAGATTTGCTAACAGGATATTGGCTACATTGTCTTCCATCCGAGCGGGCAAAAACAACGGACTTAAACTCATCTGCCCACCACCATTATTACCACCAGGAACAGCTTCTTATATGATACGTGGAGGGCCAGTGTCCTGTGGGTCATGGGTCATGGTCTACAACAACCTCACAGCTCAGTTCCACTTCTGCCACTTACAAAATGAATGACCTTGAGCAAGTTATTTGCCTCATCCTAACTCAGTTCCCTCAGTATAAAATGGGGGAAACACAACTTTCTAAAAGGTGGATGGAGAGCAGTGCAAGCACTGACCCTGGCATGGTGGACACGGGTAGTGAGTAGTAATTTGGCTTCAATGGTGATCATTTCCAGCCAGAATTGATCCAACTAGGAAAACCTGGGCTCCTTCTTCTTCCCCAAAGAGACAAGCCCCACCTGGATTTATATATATTTCTATTTGGCCCCTTACCCTGTCCCAGGACTAAGATGCAAAAACCTCCACACAATAACCACTATTCTCCTTCCAAATCCTGGTTCTTCGCTTTTCTTCTTATCCCCCACACAAGTGTCCACACAAGGAATACAGCAAGAAAGGCAAGGACTTACAACTCGAGATAGACTGTGGTCAAATAAGGTAGAACTTCTTGACTGCCAGTCTGATTCAACTGTGGAACACACTGAAAAGGAATTCTTGGTAAAATGTCAAGTAGGGAGAATTCAAGGCTGGGAAAGGATTACATGACTTCTTACTGGGACTGTGAACCCTTAAGTTAACGACACCCTGAGCAAAACACTTCCTCAATCAGAAGCAGTCAGTTACCGATACTCCAACGCCAAGCAGTGGAAAGGATCTAATGAAATGACAGCCATGAGCATCATTAAAGGAAGCAAAAGGAGGAAAGGAATGTTCCCTTCAAGCTTTCTTCTCCCCAGGAAAGAGGACACAAATAGCTAGGAAGTATCAATGGCAACAAACAGGATCACAATGTTTCAATTAAATAGCACAGCGCTGTTGGAACTTTATAACAAAATACAGCATGCACTGGTAGTTGTTTTTATTATAGAGAGGCAGGATGGTATGGAGGTAAACACACACACACACACACACACACACACACACACACACACACACACAAAGGCTCTGGAACCAAAGTGTCTGAAATGTATTCTAGCTCCTGTCCTTAACTAGCTGTGTGACCTTGGGCAAATTACCTAACTTCTCTGTACCTCAGTTTTTACCTCTGGAATATAACAGGTACTTATTTGTACTTATAGTCAGCAGGGTCTTTTTTTTTTTTTTTTTTTTTTTTTTACAAATACTAATTTCTAAGGTAGACTAGTGCTGGGTACATGATTAATGGTATATAAGTATTTGACAAATAAAAATGTTAAGATCCAGTACTCATTCAAAATAGTTTATATGCAATCTGGTGCTTAAAAATTGGTACTGGTATTGCTATGATAAATCTCAAAGAGATCTTTATTTTATGTTGACTCCTAAGAGTCTGACTTACTGACCAACACATCCTTCTGTTGATCATGGAAACTGAACGGGTCTGAAACCCAGAGGTCATTCTGACATGGTGAAATGGAAACTGAAGGTTTTTAACACAGGTCATTAAACCTTAATCATCTCCACAGTAAATGCAAGTAAAATAAACACATTTTTTATTAAGCATCCACTGTGGCCAGTCACTTCCCAGGCTGCGGTATTTGATTTGAAGGCACGGGACAGGATTGTAGCTAGGTCTGGCTTCTGCCACACAGCTGAATACAGTGGCATTAACTTAGTGAAGCCCCTTTGACCTTCTCTGGTCCTCAGTTCTGAAGGTTCGACAACTTGGTTTGGTACCACATTCATTCATTCATTCATTCATACGCACCTTAATAAGCACCTCCTTTGTGCCAGATACTAGGACAGGTAATGTGGAGGAAACGGACAACACATCATTACAACGCCATCACAAAGCTGGCAATCTGGCAGAAAGGGCAGATGTTAAAAACCAAATGTGCACCCACAAAGCCTGACTGTCGATAAGCTAATTCACGAAGAGAAGAGTTTCCAATAGACTAGATCTGTGTCTAGAAGACCAAGCCATGTCTTCCATGTAAATAGTTATGACTACACAGGATTCAAGCAGAGGAATACATTGTATGAATGGTATCAGGCGTCACCTGGCAAACATCTGACTGTTTAGGACTGTGAATTCTCTATTCTAAGCTTTGCAAGCACCCATCCCCTACAGCTCACCCGTTCTCTCATTCTTACTGCTTTTCTCAAAAGGGCTACAGTCCATTTATTTAATTTCTCCTTCCTGTATTACAGTCACATACACATCTTGCTTCACCAAATTTCTTCAGCTATCATCCTGGAGTTTTCCATGTCCTAAAATTTCTTCCAGCATGCACCTATAGAAATAATGCTATTTATTTCAGAGGTAGTTACACATATTCAAGCTTTGTAGAAGCTACTAGTTTAAACCTCAGCGGGCAACATTATTTCTGTTATTTTCATGTTTGGGGTTGGCATCGTGGGGCAGAAGGGGCACTTAGGGCAGATCTACACTGAAATTGTTGCCCCATAAACTCTCAAAAAAAACCTCTCATTTAACCTGTAAAATAATCCAATGAGGCATAAAAGTTAATTCTATATGAATCATTAAAGCTTACTACATACCAGAATGGGCAAGGCATTATACAAAGGGCAAAATTAAAACACAACTTGGCAGGTTCATAGTCCAAGTTCAGCGGTCATTTGTTACTGGCGGTTCTATGACCTATAAGCAGCACTTGAGATAATAATAGAAAAAGTGCACCCACATGAGAAGTTTCAGCCAACATGCAGAACATCAGTAAATAAATATTTGACCAAGACAGAAGTAAAATATCTCATGTTATTTAATTTCACACAAAAATAACATCCACGGTAAACTAAAACAGACAGGGCATGTCTGCAGGGCATTGTGTCAGCAATGTCAAGGTTTTGTTTTTGTTCCTACCGGTCTACCAAAGGGTCACAAGCAGGATACTCAGATATGATCTCCTTGGTGGGTTCACTTTCACCAAAATAGATGGAACTAGTTCATCGACCAGAATGCTAGTTTATTTAGCCACAATTAGGGCCCTCTTTCCAGTGACTAAAATTCATAGAACTCCCAGAGTTTCAGAGAAGCCACACAATCCCAAGTTACATTCATTCAATCTGCTTTACAAATTGAAGCAAGAGCATTAGAGGAACTTTCCACTGAATTTCCGTGGGAAAAGGTGAAATGCTGAAGATTTTTAAAAAGGTTTTCAAATTGTGATCACACATTAGCTTGAATGTAGTCTATGGAGAAAATGTAATTCAATAGGGTAATTATTTAAACAAATTCTCACTGGGTGAACTTTTAAAACAGGTACTCTAAGCTTAAAAAGAAATGTTCTGAGGGGCGCCTGCCTCAGGGGCTCAGTCAGTTAAGCGTCTGACTTCAGCTCAGGTCATGATCTCATGGTTTGTGGGTTCAAGCCCCACCTCAGGCTCTGTGCTGACAGCTCAGAGCCTGGAGCCTGCTTTGGATACTGTGTCTCCCTCTTTCTCTGCCACTCTTGTGCTCACACTCTGTCTTTCTCTGTCTCTCTCTCAAAAATAAATAAACATTAAAAAAAAATGTTCTGGGGGCTGGCTCAGTTAAGTGTCTCACTTTGGCTCAGGTCATGATCTCACAGTTCATGGATTCAAGCCCCACATCAGGCTCTGCACTGAGAGCTCAGAGCCTGGAGCCTTCTTTGGATTCTGTGTCTCCTTCTCACTCTGCCCCTCCCCCGCTTGTGCCTGCTTGTGCACATGCACTCTCTCTCTCCCTCTCAAAAATAAATAAATAAACATTAAAAAAAAAAGAAGAAATTTCCTATGCCTGTCCACTTCTTGGGTACAGTGCCAAGGGTCAGCACATGGCCTGGAACTTATTAGGTGCTCAGAACTATTTTCTGAGTACAGAAATGAATAAATACACTCCTCTGATCATTACCATGAGTTTAAATCTAAGAAAAACAATAAAGGCAAAAGTTATCTGAGTGTATATAAAAGAATAAAATCTTGCTCTTCACCTTGAAATATGAATTAATTTCCACCACTAAAAACAAAATCAATGAATAAAACATAAGTTTTTACAAAGATGGTCATAGAATGCTATTAATTCCAATCCATTTTGTGCAGCAAACCTATATAAAACCTTGATACGTTTACCTCCATGTATGTAGCAACAACTACAGAATGTGAAAGATAACTTATTTAGAAATGGCCTCATAAATGGGGCACCTGGGTGGCGTAGTCGGTTAAGCGTCCGACTTCAGCCAGGTCACTTATCTCTTTATGGTCCAGCTAAGCTCTGCTGTCGTCATGGCTGATGGCTCAGAGCCTGGTTTGTTTCCGACTGTGTCTCCCTTCTCTGCCCCTCCCCCGCCTTCCTCATGCTTCATGTGTCTCTCTGTCCCAAAAAAAAAATAAAATAAACGTTGAAAAAATAAAAAAAAAAAAAAAGAAATGGCCTCATAAAAATGACTACACATGAAAGCATATGTATATTACATAAAAGCACTTTCTATCTGAAAACCTATAATTAAAAGACCACCAGGCAAAAGTAACATAATTTGGGCTGTATGGAAACCTTTTGAAAGCTGGTATTTTCAATATTTGATAGCGAAACTCATTCATGGCCCCTTTCACATCATCATCGTTTAGCACACCACTGAGACATTTCCCTAACACCAATTCTGTAATTATAAAAAGACTTGTGTGCTGACTTCACCACAGACATTTGTTATAAAGTACCTCATCCCCTTGTAATTCCTGAATATACACACACACCTGGTGATGCTCATTTGTTGTCTACCATTATCCTAAATTAATATGGTTTATGTTAAGACACTGAAAATCCACAGAGTAAGTTTAACAGTCGAGACAAAACTTACCAAGCACAATGACGACAGTCTTCAGAAGACTCATCATGGTATCCCGATTCCGCCGGGGTCCAGAACTATGCCGAGACATTCTCATAGTCCTCTGGCGAACATAACCAAAGATATGAGCATAGAGAACCACCATTACGACAAAGGTCACCAAGTTGAAAATGGCCCAGAAGACTAAGTAAGAGTCACTGTAGAGGGGCGCCATGTTGGAACAATTTTCAATATCACAGATGCAGTTCCAGCCCACACTGGGTATAGCGCCCATAACGATGGCCATAGTCCAGATGACCACAATCACCACCACGACCCGCCGGTTGCTCATCCGTGTGTGGAGCTGCATGCGGAAAACCGTAATGTGCCTCTCAATTGCGATAGCCAGTAAGTTGGCCACGGACGCTGTCAGGCTGGTGTCAATTAGGCCCTGGCGGAGAAGCCACGTGCTGACAGTCAGTCTCCGAGTATTGGGTCCTGTGTTGAACATTAGGTAGAAGTAAGCCAACCCAGCAAAGAAGTCTGCAGCAGCCAGATTAGCCATTAAGTAATAAATAGGAAAATGGAAGCGGCGGTTGACATAGATTGCTACCATGACCAGTAGGTTGGCCAACATTATGAAGATACAAACAGTGATTCCAAGTCCCATCACCAGCTTGCTGACTGTGTTCCATTCTGTGGCAAGATACTTTCCACTCCGGTTATAAAAGAAGGCAATGGACTCATTGTAGAAGCACTGTGGTTCATTCATGGCTGTGAACTAAAAGAGAAGGGGAAAAAAGATGAAAAAGAAAGAAAGAAGAAACCACAGATCCAAATTTAAAGATGTATAGTATGGTAAATGTGGCAAAAAAAAAAAAAAAAAAAAAAAAAAAAAAAAAAAAAAAAAAGCAAAGAATTTGAAAATCTGACCCTGCATAACATTCTATTATTATGTTGAAACCCCAAGGCTTTTCACTGTATTACTGCCCTCAAGATTAAAGAGAGTTGGAGTTAAAAAAATGACAAGGTCTGTGCTTGGTGGCTGTATGTCATTGAAGTCTACTAGAAAAGCCACATGGCCCAGAAATCTTGCTTAAAATACATGAGACAGATGAAAACTTTGCAGAGAATTGCAATTGGAATATTTACCATAGTGAAACCTATTTTGACCTGTTATTTAGGGAATCTATAAACATAGTTGGTTTACAGATAGGGTATTATTGCCCTATTATTCTTCATTTCTGTTCTCACGTTGTATGTTCCATCTGTAACAAACATTTTGTAATGCAAGTCCCCACAAAGACCATCAGCACCAACATTTCAAAGAGGTCACTCTGCATCAAAGCTTCTTAGCCCAAAGCCAGCATTTGCTGTTCGACATTCCTGTGGTCAGCACTGTCTACCCCCATGACTCCCTATCCCCAGAATAGCATTTGTCAACCAATCTATGACGTTGGAGGACGTTTTTCTTTTTGGAGCACACAAGAAATATGTTATCTGATGTAACCTCCAAAGAGCAGTTGACACTTTGACACTGCTCTACAAAAAGTGAAGCGTGCTTCAGGTTTTTCTAAAATGTGAAGTGATCATGTTTTATTGGGTCTTTTCTTATTTTGCAACATCAATTCGAATATATTCATTTATTAATTATACTCACTTGAATCCAAAAAAGGACTGAACAAGTGTATAACAGAATATAGGTAGTCAATAAAACTACTGAAACAAAATTAGATAAAGTAGCATAAAGGAGACATGAGAAAACTACACATCAAAAAGAATAAATCACTTTGCCTGAAGCCTTCAGTTTTTCCGAGACTCCTAGAATCAGAAATTATTTAAGACAGCTCACATCCTTTTTCTTTTTTATCTTGTACGTTTAATAAATGACTTAGCAAATACGACAGTTTCAACCACCATTTTTGACCAAATGTTCCACTGAATATCTACAGGTTTGCGCATAAATGTCTACCGAACGCTGAACATTCTGGAACAGTGTGAAATGCTTATTAAATGGTTAGTCTTCTGACTTGTCCAGACATTTAAAGCCTCTTATTTAGACTTTAATAGCTCTTAGATCATGTTTCTGTCATTACACTTACCACGTGTATTGTTATTTATCACCTGTTTCTTGAGATTGTCGCCCAAGAAAGGAAAGAAGACCTTGTCTTACACATTTTGGTATCTGATGTACCTTCCAAAAGTTTCGTTCACTGGAGATCTGAGGACCTGGCTTGCAGTGTCCCATTCCACCCCAAATCTTGCCAGTACTCTGGCTATTTCATCTAGTTTTCTTGCCTCTCAGTTTCTTGACCTCATCTCTAATGACCTTCTTCTATTCCATTACAACTCAGCTGCCCATTCCCATGGTCACACCCTGCACTTTGTGACCACCCAGAACTGTCTCCCTTTGGAAATAAATTATACATTTGATTACTGACCACACTTCCCATTTTTCCAATTTTCTCATTTGATCCCAAATATATCAGTTCTTCAAATTCATCTATTTCCTTAAGCATCCTACCTTTGGATCCCTAATGGATTACCTTCCCCATCTCCCCTTTTTTCTTTATATGGCTTAGATTTCATAGTATGTTTCAGCCTCTTTATTGCTAACACAGGAACACATTCCCTTCTTGAAGATTCTGAGGTCAGATAGCCTTCAGAATTCAAAATTTGTCTGGGTTTAAGAACAGGTACACAGTAGATCACCCTTAGATGATGTAACATCCCCATCAAAATTTAGAGCATCATCCCATAATCACACACATTATTTTCTAAAGCAAAATGCATGAATATATACAAATTTGATAAATAAAGGTTATAAATAGCCTCACATAAATTCATTCTGAGCAGGCTTTGCCACTAGGTGACTTTTGAAAAAATCTTCAGTTTTCGGCCCTTCTTGAATTTTGTAACTTCAGATAAGGAAGAAGAGACCTTTCTCTTTTAATCTACTTGCCTGGATATACTTCCACAACAATTTCTTGGAGCAACCCCAGTCTTGGATGAGTGCAGTTGGTTGCCACTTCCACACCGACAGCAAGGCTTCTGAGCAATGTTAGAGAAAATCAACACATCTGGCAGATTGGTTCTGACATAAATTCATAAGTCTAACCTCATCTGAGACTTCAGTAGCACAAGAAGTCTGTTTTTCTCCCTAATTGTTATTCTCCACTTTCTCCATAGTGACTAACTTAAGCTCACCTACTGTTCTCTTTTGAGTCCCATCTTCCCTCTTTTCACAGCAATTGCCACAGGAGGAAAACAGAAATCATCAGACTGGGACTCCTTCACCCTTCTCCCAGCAAAAAAAGACCTAGTCAAGAATCCATCCTTTCTCCTTCTGTTACAATGGAAGGAGTATACCTTTTATCATCCAAGTGTTATGTGTTCCTACTATTTCAAGAACTTTGTTCTATAAATTGTTTCCTTTCTCCTCCTTGTATCTCCCCCTCACTCCTCCTTCTCTCCCTCTCCCCTTAATCTTTCCTATCTACATTCAAGTAAGTTTAGTTTCTGCAAGGAAAGGAGAGGAAAGGAGAAGAGAGGAGAGGAGAGGAGAGGAGGAGAGAAGGAGAGAAAGAAAGAGGCAGGTCTGTCATGACCCGATTTGACCTTGCAGCTTTGATCCTTTTTCTCCTTCATAGCCAACTACTTCATTTCTCACTAACATCTCAATTAACTATAGTAGGGCTTCTATCCCAACCCCTCCATCAAATCCACTCCATTAAATTCTTTAGTTCCATATAACTTCCCCAAGTAACACCAGTCTTGTCTTCAGAGCATTAGACACATGGCTGAAAAGCTCTTTTCAGATAATTCTTTCTTTGGCTTTCATGACATCATACTCTCCTGGATTTTGATCCTTCTCTATTGCTGGTCCTTCTTAGTTATTTCTGAGGGTTCCCCACGTTCTGCACAACATTGATCTTTCTACACTGGTTATATACTCAGTCAACACATTTTCACTGAGTTTTCTAATATGTCCCCCAAGATTTCAATTATCTTATATACCAGCGATACTCCCAAATTTAACATATACTTTTTTCCTAAGCTCTAGCCAAATATCAAATTGCCTACTGGTATCTCTGACTAACTACCCCATAGGGCACTCAGTACTCAGTGTCTGTGCTCAAAATAAAACACAAAGTCACAATTTCCCTCATGATCCCCAACTTGCTACTGCCATCTTCTCTATTCCCGAGCCTGGAGAACCATTATCTCCCCAGTGGACTGAGGGCTAACCCTGGGAATTCCTTCTCCCCTTATTCTCATCACTTAATAACCAAACCCTGTATATTCTCCTTCCTAAGCATCTACTCAACCTGCATACTTTATTCCATCCTCATGGCCACCAGCATTATTACTACAGGGGATTACTAAGTGTTCTTTCTACCCAGTGCCCATCTCCTCTCTAGTGATCTTTCTAAAAGACAAGGTTGACCAAGCTGTTTTCCTACTGAAAATGCCCCAATGGCTTACAAGTGCACTTAAGATAAAAATCTAAACTCTTCAACCACCTTATCAGGCCTCACCTGCCCTCCAACCTCAACTCAAACTATTAATGACTTCCAACTCTCTGCTTCAGCTCTATGTAATGTGTTGTGCTCTCTCTCATCTCCGTTTCTCAGAGCAGTGGTTTTCTACATCAGATTGGAGACAACACAGATTGGAGGGATTTTAAAATACAGACTACTGGCATATTCTGAAAATTTCTGATTCAGCAGATGTGAAGTGGGGCCCCAGGCGATACTGACGTTGCCGGTCCAGGGACCACACCTTGACTTCCACTGGCCCCAAACAATCTTCCCTCTATTTTTACCTGGCTGCCTTTTTTTCATTCTTCGTGCAGTTGAAAGGTTATTCTTTCTACTCAACTTCCCTAACCATTCCCAAGTCTAGGCAAGGTGTTTTCTACTGCAATTCCCTATATTTATCCCATAACAGCACTCACCACACCGTATATTAATAATTGTTCAATTAACTCTTCCTCATACTAGGCTATAAACCCTATCAGAACAGAGATTCTCACCTTCTTGTTCACTGTCGTATAGCATCCAACCGTTAGACAGATTAGATGCCAAATATATAGGTTGCATTAATCCATTAAAGATAATTCCAGAGATGTTTACAGTTCATAACTTTCCTTTCTGGAAAGGATATACAATATACAAAAAATATATTCTAACTATAAATGCAAGGCTGCCTTCTTTCCTTTAGCTCCTATGACCATTTACTTTTTCTGGACACCTACATTTTTACGCCAAATACGAAGCACATAGTACTTCACGGCATTCCAACTTCTGAACACCAACTGTTAACAAAGTCAACTGGTGATACAGGCAGCCTCTTCGCTTTTCCCAACTTAGAAAAACTAAACTAAGGATAAAAACATATAAAAAAGCGCAAATTGTCTTTTTAAGCCACGATGTGTTAAGAAGAGTGAAACTGACAGATATTCTCTAGAGTATCCCACATGCTGCATTAGCAAATGGCACGTGACCAAATCCTCTGCCATCTCGGACCCTTCAAAAACTGAATCATTAAAGCCATACCACCTTTAACGACATAACTTACACGATTATTTTATCATCTGTGAAATAAGAAGATTGAGCTAAATTTTACATAAGGTTAACCTCAGATTTAAAATTCTACACTAAGAAAATTCTGGATAACAACTTTGTATGTCATAAAAATTGCCAGCTAAATACTAAGACAGTATAAAATGTGCCTGGGATTAAAGTAGTAAAAGGCAGAATATACCTGAGAAAAAGAGGA